TTACTAAACACATTTATAGTTGAAAGTTGAAAGGTGAGGAGTATAAAATATAAGCCATAAATGCCATGGCACACAAATAGATAAAAATGCCAAAATACACAGGGAGATACAAAATGCACACATACAAATTTTAAAACACAATTCCTTATCTTAAAGTGAAAGAAAGAGGAAGGAAGAAAAGGTAGAAGAGGAAAAACATATTTAAAGAGGGGAGAGCAAATGCAGGCAAGAGGAAAAGGGGGCTTTCTGCTACAGTTCCATGCACTGTAGGACAGCTAGGGCTGCTGCGGCTGTTACCCAGGGCCTGGCACCACTTAGTCTGAGCAGCCCCAGCTGCCTGGCAGCTCTTGGAGCTGTGCAGCACCCCGCTGACCCAGGCCACTCCTGTGCAATGGGGCAGTGGCAGTGCAGGTTCCAGGCCACTGGGGCCAGTCCCTGCTGCCCCCCGATGCCCCGTGTTGTGTGGAGGGGGCTGTACCACAAGTTCCCAGTGACCCCAAAGGCAGCTGCTACTGCCGGTGAGTGCAGGGCTTTATTTTGCCAGGATGCTGGGACCAGGCAGGGCAGCGATGGGGGAGCAAGCAGGGGCTGGGACGGGGCAGCCATCCGGGGGAGGGCCAGGGGAGCGGGCAGGGGATGGGACCAGGAGGGGCAGTGGTCAGGTGGGCTTGGGGGGCATAGTCCTCTCCCCCCTCCTCCAGCCCCCCCAGTTCCCCTGCCCCCTACTTACCGCCACGGAGCCCAGGTCTAGCTCCCTGCAGTTGGCACACTGCCTGCCATGCACAGGCAGGCAGCGTGTTTCAGCATGGGATGAGGGCCAACCATAGAGACGCTCTGGCTGGCTACCAGGGTATCTCTGTGGAGGACCTGAGCCTCCAGTTGCTTCGAAGGTGCCCTGCCCCGCTTTTTTCCCCCAGGGTATTTTTTGACCCCTGGATATCCAGAGGTCTAACTTTGCCCCCACGTTGCAAATTTGCGGTGTGGGGAACGTTTTTTTGTTCCCGCATGTGCCTCTTGTCACATTTCAAAGGGCTTTGAGACGCTGCAAGAGGCATGTGTGTGGTCATCTGGACGCACTCTGTGTGGTTAAATGAGAGAGTTTTTGCCAGAAGTGAGTTTGCAATGCTGTTCTTTACAAGTGGAACATGGGGTTGTACTTCTCCAACAGAGAAGTACACTTCAGATCACTAGAGGCTGAGTCCTGGAAATCAAGAAAAGTAAGGGATCGCTTTTATTTCTACATCTTTGTATGGACTGAAGAAATGTGGTTGAGCATAGGTATGATCCTGTGAAGTGATGCACTATCTATCAATTTATGGTTTTGTGTGATTTTTGAGGGTTTGAAACATTGTGAGATCTTGTAATTACTTGTTACTCAGTAATTGTATGCTGATGTTTTCAACATAAACTTCTTAAGTACTTTTTAAAAATGAATTGATAGTGCAGCTGCCCCTATATTAAGCATACAAATACTAATAACATTGAAAAGTGTAATGTGTGATGAAAACAGCCATTGTGTGAAACATTGCACCCTACTTTTAATGGAACTGAAAATTGCTAATACTTCTGTTTTCATTCCTTGGCGGTGTTAGGTGGGTAAAATAGACAGTCACCTGATTAAGAGCTGATGTTAATGCTACAATGCAGACATACATTCAGTAGCTACTCTGTAGTCATTAGTAGAAAGACAGTAGAAGAATTTATGGGATTATTTTTTATATGACTGCTCCTCGTTTTTAAATGGTTTACTTTTTACTTTAACTGTATCAAAGGATGAGCCCACCTGATTTTAATCTTCCAAGACCCTTCTTTAGTTTATGAAGCATCTTATTGTTTTATGTTTGACAATAAAAAGCAAATATTTATCATCATGAATTTCAATATTATTTTGATTTCAGTGCCATACTTTTTAGTGACTCCTGTGCACACCACATAATTAAATTTCTTGTAAAACTGAAAACAAAAAATGGCATGAAATAAAATATCTTGAGTTACTGACACTCATAATACTGACTAGAATAGGGGTTGGCAACTTTTTGCCACCATGGGCTTATACCTCCTGGCAATCAGCAGGTAGGTACTGCGCAGGGAATAGATAGGAAAAGGCAAATGCTAGGACCCTGGGGATGCTTCCCCAGCTGCAGCAGGGAGAACAAGCCTAAGTTAGGCAATAGACCCTAGGGATGCCTCTTTTGCTGCTGTTGCTGGAGTGGGTTGCTGATTGTCTGAGCTGCCCTGGCCTGGATCCAGTATATTCACAAGCCCACAGACCATGGGTTGCCAATTCTAGTAAATGTACAGTGTACAAGAAGATATTGTTTGGAGAGTCTCTGTAATTAAAATAGACTTGACTAGAGCATTTGGAGACCTCCTTCACTTCGTTTTACTGATTTCTTCCTACCACGAATCTACTTACCTTTAAATATTATAAGCAAAATATTATAGCATGGGGCTATAGCTTTCAAATAATTTGCTAGACTGATTTGTTTTACTGTTGTATGTAACCTCTCCCTTTACCAGCTATTTCAGTTTTGTGTCTCTGTGTCCTACTCTTGGAAAATGGCTTTTTTAACAGAGTTGTATTTGTTTTGTTAATAGAATCAATGAATTGCTTGCTTTTGAGTCATAGGTATTGATTATTTGTGTAGTTTAAACAAATCGGGTTGTCCTGAGAATGTCATGATTTCTTTCTTTCCAAATGATCTTCTTTGCCTTGCCAAATTCTGAAACACTCTTATGCATTAGATGCCAGAAGAGTTTAGAATTCTTATCTGGAAGGAATTAAACTTTTTAAAAAGACAGAAAACATTTATCCCTAAGACAGTTTAAAGATTCCACCTGTATCTCTGCCCTCTCTCATTTGTATGTTTATGTGTAGCTAAGAAACATTGAAAGATCCAGACATGCATTCTTTCTTCTTTTTTTTTTTTAAAGAATATGTTTATTAAACAGATAATGTGGGAGAAACTCGGTTGTAAAAAAGAATTCTCCATAAATGATTCATTGTAAAACATGTGAGGAACGCCTTAACAACAGAACTCAAAATCTCACTCCAAGTTCAGCTCTATAGAATTGCAATAATATCACAATTAATAACTATAAAAATGTCTTTGTAAGTAAATATGGGTCTGATTAATGAGAAGCTACCCTGTAATATTGGCATTTACCAGTTGATGTAGCATCAGAATAAGGCAGAAAAATAGCATATTGCCTATTTCCACTTAAGTTTGTAGAAGCATTTATGCTTAGCCCTGAGAATTTTAGTAGCTTTGGCAAAGGGCTAAATTTATCTTTCAGGTCTTCAGTAGTAGGTGAGACTGCTGAACATTTTTTTTTATATCAGTCTTTGTTTATTGGAATTTTTATGATTGTATATTCTAAGGTAAGTGTTAGAGGAATGGGAGTATTGCACCTCTGGGCAATTTGAAAAAATAGGATATAAGGTCAGTTTATAAATTGATTTTGTATATGCTGCTCACTTGACCATCATACTATATTTTTTGTATTAATTTACAGTCATATAATTTTATTTAAATGAAAACAATACCATGTATACTTTAGTTCAGTTATGCTGGAGAATGTCTGCCCAAAGATATAGTCATTAAGAGAATTTGGTTAATATGTATTAATTGTTTATAAATCAGTTCTTTCTTTGAATTTCTTTCCAGAACTGTGAGAACATGGGATGTTAACAATGAGAAAAAGCACAAAGGTGTGTTTAAACCACGGTCTGTTCAAGGCAAACGGGTGATTCCTACAACTTGCACATACAGCAGAGATGGTAAACTTATTGCAGCTGGCTGCCAGGATGGCTCCATCCAGATCTGGGATAGGAATTTGAATGTAAGTCAAATATACTTTAGCAAGATAAATTGTTAGTTTAGGGTATATTCTACATTTTTGAAGCTGTTGAAATCGATTCTAATGGTTTTTATATTTGAACTACTTTTTCCGAAAAGCAATCACTTCATAAATGAGGTTTAGTATTTCCCCGGCTGTTCCACTGCTGCTGACTCAAAGCCTGCTGTCACCTTAGCCCAAATAAGCACTGGCAGGAAATTGACTAGCTAACAATTTGTTTTAAAAAAAGATTATATATGTTTTAAATTTATCCATTTAAATTTAACTCCATGATGATAAAGACATCATTTTCTGTTGCTTCTTATGCCATTAAAAATATGCACATCAGCACTGAATAAATCACCAGTAAGTTATAGGGCTTTGTGTCAAAGCTAATAATTGGTCCAATTGCTAGCTGATGGAGGAAAATAGATTTCAAATGCACAATTGTGGTAATGAACCTTATAAACAAATTGCTTTTCTTGTTGTTCTGAAACATTTAATATGAAAGCAAATCTGAGCAGGCACTGATTGGAAATCCCAATACTTCATAACTATGCTATGTCCTCAGAAGGATTTAGAAGACAAAGAATTCAAAATTTCTTAAAGGTGTGCAAGATAGTGAAATAGATTCGGTTCAGTTGGCCTAAATGTCTCATTTTAGGATGAAACTTCCAACTGGTAACACAATTCATGCAATTACAGTATAATACAATGTATTCAGGATTTACCAGTCTCCATTTTTTTGCATAATGGTGGTACTAAGCCAAGCCAGTTCTAAAGATAGAATTTTTCAAACCGAAGTACCACTGTGCCAATCAAAATGTTACTATGGTTTTTAAATGCAAGGTGAGTAAATACCTTACCTATACTCTGCCTTGATCTGAGAGCTGTTACCTATCCTCAGTTCCTTTTGAATTCATTGTGACAGGTACTATATAGTGTAGGCAAAGACATACAAAATATCAAAAAAGGATCAATTTGTTTGGAAGATATTGTATTAATTGGTAGAAACAATTACTTTGAGTTAAGTTTATGTTGTAAATCATTGAAAGCATTATAATGGTCATTCAATATGATATCTTAATGGAAGAAAAGGGTTTTAGTGATTAATTTTGTATAATCATTCTAGCAACCTGTCCAGCCACATTTATCAACAATTTAATTTGGAAAAGGAGAGAATGCACAATGTAGGGACCTCTTCCCAAAGTTAAATAAAACTTGATTTCCAGGTGGTATGGGAAAGCATACTGATGTAAAAGAAGGAGAAACCTCCACTGATCACATTCAAAATGCATTCTATATTTTGGATTGTCATGTATTTTTTTTTATTTCTGTTTTTATTTCCACTATAAACCCACTAAAACTTCCTAATGGCATGGAGTTTTTAGAATTCATTCCAAGTGTAAACTTGTTCTAGCAGAACAATAAATTTTTCAGTGACTGGCTTTCATCACCTGTGTATACTGTTGCTTTAAACATGTACAGTATTGAAATATTAAGCTTTCTGGTATAGCTTTAACAATAGTGCTAGTGATAGTATGCTTATTCTTTATGAACCTTTGTGTGTCTTTATAAGATAACATACTGCAATGATGATCAAGTGCAGCTTATGGTGATTGACTAATTTAAAGGTCAATCTTTATCTCTCTTTTTCCAACCAAATGACCTCTTCATAACTATAGGAGACTAAACTGGTTATCTAGAATAAAAAAGAAGTCCTTTTGATTTTGGATTTTCCTAAAGAATAATATGATTTTTCTCTTCAGTTTTGTTGATATATTTTTAAAAAATACACAAAACACCCTTCATTAAAGTAGTCATTCTAATTTAATTCCAGTAGCATACATGACTGAAGCTATTACAGCTCAACACAAAAAATTTTCTGTATCACTAAAATCAGAAATGTCATTAAGGCAGCCTGATCATATAAATAGATCATGCAGCATAAACAGCCAAATCATTTTGCTAACAATAAAGAAAGAAAAAAGAACAAAATGTGAAATCCTTGGCCCGGGGCGGGGGGGCAGGAGAAGGGGAGGAATGGTGCTCTCAAATTTTTGTTTCAGTTTTTACTTTTTGTTGTTAAAGCTATGTAAAGAAGGTCCTGAAGAAGAATTAGAAGGGGCCCGGTGGAACTGAATAGTGCAGAGGACATGGGAGGGCACGTACATGCAAGAGAAAAGACACATGTATGTAGAAGGAGAGCAAGAAAATGCCAAGATGTGTCAGATGGACACGAATTGGTAGGAAATGAGATAAGAAAATAGGCAGTTGCAAAACGGTGAAGAGTCATGAGATAGGGAAAACCAGTATGGACTTGGTACACAAATATAGAGGAAAGAGAGTTTTTTTGATTTTAGACGTTTTTTTTAGTGCCCCTGTTCTTCATGTATCCTTCAGCCTATATGCTCTGACAATGTGTGCTATATTACAGTAAAACTTTTTCAAAGCACAAATTTGTGAAAAATATCCTTATTAGTTATTAACAAAAGCATTGTCAGACTGGACAAATGCTTGTGATAAAGCCTCACATTTGATCAGTTAAGAACTGTGTCGGCGAGCACCTGGGCCCATTGTGAATTAATGGGATTTACAAGACGGGTTGGAAACTGATACCATCATTCCTTCATAGGACTGTCATGACCACATAAAGGAGAGGCTAGGGATGGGAGAAGTCCTTTCCTGTACCAGACTTTAGGGCCCACCCTGTCATCCATGGAGGTATCCTCCTATACTAGTCACCAGTTTAGGCATTGTTTGCAATCTGTGAACAAAAGAGCACCATAATAAGGTAGATTCTAAAATATCTATAGCTTTTTGTCTACTGTTCAAAGCCACTTAAACATTTAATCTACCTGTATTATTTAAAATTTTTATTCATTGAAATTATTTTCAGAAATTGATCATTCCCTGCCTTCATTGTACGTCTTCTCTGCCTATTCCTTATTCCTAGACATGGTTGCCATTTTATCATAAGCTAGGGCTATCGGTTATAATCTAAGGTACTTTTTAAATTGCAGTGTGGTGTCTAGCTATTGATTTTTGGTGTATGATCAATTTCCCTTTTTTACTTCTTACTAACACCACAAATCCATGAATGTTTCATTCAGTTTTCTGTTTCTGTTGGTTTTTTGGTGCAGTTCCAAATCTCCCAGCTGTATGTCTTGAAAGTAAAAATGCTTTGGAGGAACACTTTTTTTTGTGTCTTCATGAAACAGACATTGGTATCTTGCTTCTAAAACTGAATTTAGCCAAATGCACTTCAACAGTCTTGCTTTTCTTCAAACTTCCTCAGTATGATTATGATCCATTGTAATCACCTGCCTTAGGGATTTTTTCACTTTTTCATAAATCTGTGTTTTCTCATTTACAGAATCTTGGCTGTGCATGATTTTTCCTTAAGGTTCATGTTCATATATGCACGTACAATGCAAATTAGCAAAACTATTTGTCACCTCCTTAGGAATATTTTAACAGTGTTAGCTAGCTAAAAACTACTGATTGAAAGAATGTAAAAAGCAGCTTCACTCAGACTTGCAATAATGAGTGAACAATGGTCTGATATAGTCAGTTATACAATGACACGTTGAAATAGTCTTAAGAATTGAAGGAGGGGATTAGACAAATGGAGGGAGGACATGAAAACATGCAGAGAGATGTAATGAGATGGGAAAGACCTTGATGATCCTATTGCTTGTCTTAACACAGCTGTGAAAGCACTTGGTCACTTGGAATAGTAGTAGTGCTCTGATTTACTATACACTTCAAACGGTGGCTAGCCAAAGCAAATACAGGACAAGGCTCAAAATATTCTGCTGAACAATCTCATCTATGTCACAAGTTTTAACAGTGGGAATAAAGTGAATCCAGACATTCTGAATTGTCTCTGTTCCCATTTTTCAATTAAGAAAAATACCTCCCTCTCAGATATGTTACAAGGGTAGAGTCATGTTTGTAAAGGATTTTGAGATACCTAAGGGATAGGGAAAAAGTACTGTGTTTTTGCTAATAAAGTAAGATTTCTTACAGCACTTTTCTGACTTTTTTTAAGTCCCTTTTCCATTTAGTCCTTAACTGATCAATCTTAAGAATCTATTAAGATGCTCTTCCTTGAATATGTAAAGCAACTTTTCTATGCAGTGAGCACAATAAGTAAATCCTGATTTTCAATTTCAGTCTTGTTTTGTTAGCTTATAAGGTATATAATTAGCGGTTAATCATAAACTAAATAGTAAATATTTGCTTTTCATCAGATCAATCTAGCAATATCATTTTTACATAAAATAACATCTGAATAAACAATGTGTGACATCTTACTATTCTCTGGATAATATTTCTTATTTAACCTGATTCATTGGTGATGGACTAATTGATTGATAAACCTAGTGATTATTTTTTATTGTTTTTAACTGTCTCTCATAGAAAGACTTACAGATGGTGATATATTCAATTCCATTTATTTTTCAGGTCTTTCTCAAAAGCAGATATCTACTATGAAATGACAGCTGTTACTCAGCTACTATTTTATTTCATTTCTGTTCATTTTTGAAGCTGCAATTTGATTTAAAATAACCATGATATTAGATTTTATGTATTTGGATCAGTTATAAATTACTTAGCCCAAGCTCTATAAATGATTTTACAGAATTTCAAATGTACAATAGCAGTGAAACCCAACAGTATCCAAATAGACAACCTACATTAATATTGCCAGAAGTGAGGTAATACAGTAAACACCACAACCAATTGGCAAGAGTCCTTAATCTACTCCATCCTCAAAAACCTGTAGGGAAGAAAAGAGAGGGGTGCTAATATATGCATTGAAATTTAGCAGATCTGAGATCTTTACCTTCTTTTACTAAGGCTAATCTTTAAAGTATTTTCTAATTCTTGAATTATTTATAGAAGTACGCTGAGTATAATTCTGCATATAGTTTTAGCTTGAAAGGTTTTTGTAATCTTTAAGTTTTTATTGCAACATGACATCAGGAAAAAATGTG